CTCTGCAAAATTTCCCAAAGTATGGGGTTTGGAGAGCTTCTGGGTTGATGAACACATGTACATGTTGGGAGCGTGGTGTACCCCATCTTCCATGGGAACAGAAACTTCTGTGCTTGGGACCCTTCTAGACCTTCCTCTATGTATCTCTTCATCTGTATCCTTTACCATACTCTTTATCATAAAATAAACTGGTACACATAAGTGTTTCCCTCTCAACAATCAAACCCAAGGTTGGGGTGGGGTGAGTTATGGGAACCTCTAATTTGTAGCCAAGTCGGACAGAAGTCATGGGTAACCTGGGGACCCACTACTTGTGATTGGCATCTGAAGTGGGGGACAGTCTTGTGGGACCAAGGCCTTAACCTGTGGGGTCTGCATTAATTTCAGTTAGTGTCAGAACTGAATTAAAATGTAGGACACCCAGCTGGTGTCAGAGAATTGCTTGGTGTAGGGAAAAAACCCAGACACACTTGGTGTCAGAAGTGCTGTTGAGTGTGGCAGTTGTGTGAGAGGGAAAGAGAAACACCCTGGAGATGTCAGTTTCTCCTAAACAGTTACGTAAATACTGTATAATCCCATTTATATAATACTCTTAAAAGGACAAGAATTATAGTGATGGAGAATGGATCAGTGGCTCAGGGGTTAGGGTTAGAGGGAGGATGTGATTATTAAGGAGTAGCATGAGGGGTGACAGAGCACTTCTATATCCTGATTATGGTGCTTATACACTTCCATACATGTGATAAAATTTCCTAGAAACACACACGCACACACACACACACACAAACTGGTGAAAATTGAATAAGGCCTGCAGTTAAGTGTTCCAACGTCAATTTCCTAGTTATGGTCATATAACAATATCATCACTGGGGGAAAGAATGGTGAAATGTACATGGGAATTTTGTACTGTTTTTGCCATGTCTTTTTCTAAATTTTTTGAAGATTTTATTTTTTATTTTTTAAGATTTTTATTTGTAAGTAATCTCTACACCCAACACGGGGCTCGAACCCACAACCCTGAGATCAAGTGTTGCATGCTCTACTGACTGAGCCGGCCAGGTGCTCCTGTTTTGCCACTTCTCTGTGAGTCTTAAAATTATTTCAAAATAAAAAGTTTATAAGAAATCACTTCCACTCTACATGCTTGACTCTCCTGGGGGCTTCCTAATTCCAAATACCTCGAATCACTCACTGAGCCTCATCAGTTTTCCTTCCTTAAAATCTCAGTCTGTTTCTTTCCCACTTCCACCTTTACTCCCTGGGTGCAGGCCCCTGTTACCTCCTGACTGGAGAGCCATAGCTTTTACTGGTTTTCTTTGCCCCCAGTGCTTGTACCCCCAACAGACAACCTACCTGCACACAGAGTCCAAAGGAATTGTATGAGCTTACTGCTTGTACTGTATCATCACTCAAAAGCTTGCAGTAGCTTTTTACCATCTACACCCTAATATTTAGAGTCCTTAATTTGGCATTCTGGACTGTAGGTATTCTTCCCTCAAACCAGAATTTCCAGTCTACTACTGCACAATCCTTCAAAGAGCTAACATTTAGGGTACTATACTAGTTTGCTTCCTGTCCCTACCCCCACATGCCCTGAACACTTGGTGATGCTTTGCCTATGCTCCCCTGGACCTCCCTGGAGCTCCAGATGACAGTGATCTGGGCCCATACTTCTGTGTTCATGTGATGCTTCTCCTCTGTGACTTCTTCGAGCTTGTCTTTCTGGGTGTTTATGTTGTATTCGTATCATCTGAAAACCCATTTTGCAGCCTGACTATGCCTTTCTCTCTTTGGTGTGATAAGATTTTTCCAAAATTCAAATTGACTAGTCTGATAGCAACACCCTTTTCATGTTTTATTCTAGTCAGTGTACGTTAGGGTCTACATATGAAGGCTACAAAGGGTGTGAAAAGAGCTCAGTCATCTATAAGGAAAGTACAATTTTAGTTGGTCTTATTTTTGCTGGAATGAATATTCATAGCAAACATCACAAATTTAGATAAAGGCGTTAAACATAGTATAATTTAACAATCATAAGGCATTCACATATTACTTGGTCTATTTACTCAAATTCTTTTTCGATATGACATGATTGAATAGGACATTTTCTTGTGGTTTTACCAACGAAATAAATCTTTTTTTTTTTTTCTTTTGACACCCAGTCATGGTATTATGACTTTGGGCACTCCTCACTACAAGGACGTTCACCATCTTATTTCTTCACTTTGCAGTTATGCAGGAGTTTTTCATATATAAACTATAGCTTAAATTTAGTCTTTACAAAATTAACACCAATTACATCCACAGCAATGATTCATAAGTATACATGGACAAGTATTTAACTATAAGAAGCCTGTGTGCAACAGTTAGATAACATTCTTATGGAATTCTTCCATCTCCAGATGGCACCTAAGCAGTGAAGGTAAATTGTAGTTCAGACATGGCACATGATTCTGAGCTCAAATAGCCTTCTGGAACTTCTTCACTTAAGTCACTGACATTTTCTGTCTGTTATCTTTCTGATGCCAGAAATCTATTATGTATTAAGCTCAAATTATTTAGAATGAGAACTACAATCACTGCAGGGAGAAGGGTTTCCAAAAATAAATGTTAATCAGGATATGCATGGTAATGAGAGCCAAGTTTTCTAAAGGGTCTTAAAAATGACTAATATGGCTGCCATTTTCATCGTCCTTTGGCATTTAAACTAGCTTCTAATGAACAAAAGATCCCCATTATGGAGAAACTGAGACAGGCAAAGGAGAAATAGGAGTCCCCCCTACACTGGTCATTTCTGGGAGAAAAAAATACTAAGAATGTATCTAAGAATTGCTTACCTACTCTTTTCTGGGGAAATCAGGAATAACTAGAACTGAATATTTTAAGCCAAGAATAACTAGAGCTGTGTATCGGAGGGTTGAATGCAGATTTGATAAGTAATATTCTTTTTTTTTAAAAGATTTATTTATTTGAGAGAGAGGGAGGGAGGGAGGGGCAGAGGGAGACAAGAGTCTTGAGGAGACTCCACACTGTCCCACAAGCTCAGAGTCCGACTTGGGGCTTGATCTCACAACCCTGAGACCAGGACCTGAGCCGAAACCAAGAACTGGATGCTTAACCTACTGTACCACCCAGGTGCCCTGATAAGTAAAATTCTTGACGTAGACTCAGGATCCACTGGAATCTCAAAACTGTTCTCTAATATCATCATCCATGTCATTGCCACTAACATACATTATTAATCTACATTTTAATATACCTTATTATTTTTGCATAATTTCTAGGGAAGTAGCATGGTGTAATATATGAACATTCATATACATAATATATGTAAATATATTATAGATTAGAATAGAATACATAATATATGTAAAATATGAACATTCATTTGTTAATTCATTAAATAGTAACTAATATTTATTGAGCACCTACTCTATGCCAGACACTTTCTAGAGTGCTGGATGGAAGTGAACTGACAGCCCCAAATTCCCACTCTTCTGCAGCTTGTATTTTACAGAGGGTAAATAGACTACAAACAAGTAAAATATAGGTATGTCTTATGGTGACAAATGCTATGGAGAAAACTAAGGCAGGGAAGGGGGACTGGGAATACTGGTGGCAGGGGGCATTCCTTCTCCCTAATTTTATTTTTTTTAAAGATTTTATTTATTTATTTGACAGAGAGAGACACAGTGAGAGAGGGAACACAAGCAGGGGGAGTGGGAGAGGGAGAAGCAGGCTTTCCGCGGAGCAGGGAGCCCGATGTGGGTCTCGATCCCAGGACCCTGGGATCATGACCGGAGCCGAAGGCAGATGCTTAACGACTGAGCCACCCAGGCGCCCCTCCTTCTCCCTAATTTTAAACTGAGTGGACAGGAAAGCTCTTACTAAGAAGCTGACAGTTAAGCAAAGATCTGAAGGTGGTAAAGGAAGAAGCCATGACTATACCTGGAGAAGAGTGTTCTAGGCAAAGAGCATGACGAACACAGAGGCACTGAAGCCAGAATGTGCCGGCTGTCTGAGGAACCACAATGAGCCCAATATGTGGGGAACAGACTAAGAGGAGAGTAGTAGGGGATGAAATAAGAGATGTATTAGGGGGCGAGACTGCACACTGGGCTAAGAATGAATCACCCTGGGGAGAGGCCTGGTCTGAAGATATAAATTCAGGACTCATCAGAATACAAATCACACTTAAGACCATTAAAACTAGATGAGGTCTCCAAGGGCCTGAGAGAGAGAGAGAGAGAGAGAGAGAGAGAGAGAGAGAGAGTGTGTGTGTGTGTGTGTAATAAAAACAAACGGTAGCATATTAGATTCAACAGAGCCAGAAAAGTGATGATGCAGGAAAGAGATGCTGGAGTGATGTCCTTGAGTGAGTAAAAGACAGAGGATCTCACATGCAAAGGAAAGCATTGTGGTAGGCTCAATTAAAATCCTGGTTGCACTACGGACAACTTGCTGGAATTACTGAACTGCAGAATGTCTTAATCAAATAGTGCTGTTTCGCTCAAGTCCCATGTTACATTTTCCTTAATGTTCACTCACAAGATGGGAGAGAGAAAGAATTTTAAAAATCGAGCTTCTTCCTAAAACAATAAATCCGAATCTAGTCATCTACTGAAATAAAAATAATGTTATGACCCATACAGTCACATCCCAAGGAAAGATCACAACTTTCTGTCATAAACACAGCAATACTTCCCTTGTTCTTGTTGCACAGCTTTGGGACATGTGTCGGTGGAGAACAAACATGCCTTCCTCCCTGCTATGTTCTGCCTTAATCTGCCTCTGTTCCCTCTGATGGCTGAATGTCACTAGAATGGTATATTCTCTACTCAGATATTTACAGAGGCTGTCCGGAAACAGCAAACAAGATGAACAAAACTCAAAAAAAGTGCTCAGAAAAGAGGTGGCAAGAGTCGCCCTCTAGAGCAATACACTGCTGTCGCTGGAAGCGTTCACACAAAGTGTAGATGGCCACCTGTGGGCTCCCGTACCTTAAGCCATGGGTGATTCAGTGCTTCATAAACAGTGATCCTTTCAGCTGGATCCAGCATCAGCATGCGACGGACTAGGTCTTTGGCACTTTCAGAGATATGGCTCCACTGCCTTGGATTCATCTGAAGAGAAGGAGAGGAAAATTCCATAGTTATCGTCCAGTGAGAAGTTAAATTCACTACGATGTAACATTCCTATGCTGTTTCAATGTGAATAAAATTCTCAAAGAACAGAAATCTGATTCTAAAGGCTTGCTTTCTAAGGAAGAGGACAAAGGCAAAAGTCTTTGGTGGTTGTTGCTCCCTCTATGAGATTTTGCATCAGTAAATATCCCTTACATATGTTCTGTCACCTAAGTTATAATATTTTTAATAATTGAATAGAATGCTCATGACTGTAGTTTCTACCTTAGCTGAAGAGACTAGTACTTTGCTCTAAGAAAGGACTAAAATTAAATTTTTAAATTAAAAATTTTAAAGAAATTTTAAAACATTTTCTTTTTAAAAATTGGAATGTGCAGTAATTATGAAGTTATGCAAAGTTCTTAGTAGGATATTTTGGTCACTGTACATCAATTTCAGTATTTAGGAACAAATATACTGTTACTATAGGCCCTACAAAATAGCCAAATCACTTGTATATTGTCTTCAGTGTAGTTACTTTTGTTCTTCTTATAGAGATGAGACAACCAAGTCACAAGGTCAATTGACTAAAGTCAAACAAATGAACAAAAACTATGAGTTGTTCAAAAGACATAAGACTTGTGAGAAAGTGGATCCGGGAGGAAAAGAGTTAAGACGGCTCCTGGGCAAAAGGGAATGTTTGAGACCAGGAAGCAGAAAAAAGGGAAGGGATGCTTAGGGTTTGCAGTTGGGGAGGTCAGTGGGGACAGGCAGGGAGAGACGAGTAGGGTTTCATTCCTTATTTAATATCAAGAAGCCAAATGATTGGGTGAATTTATGTGAGCTGCCTGGTGCCAGGAGCTAGCGATGCCATGGCTTGAGCCAGAGGAGACCTAGGTCACCTTCTAAGGGAGAAAGATGGAGAATAAAGTCCATCACAACTTAAAGCCAAATAAAATCACAGCTGGCATCAGTACACAGGAATCATTACAGTTGGCCAAGGGTTAGCATTAGACACTTCGCTCTGGCTATTGTGAGGCTCTATACTTGTAGACGGGGAATGAACTATGTTCCTTGTTCTTTTCCTAACAGGAAGAATTCCAAACAATAGTCACTTCTGCTTCTCAGATCTCTTAACTAAAGTGAGTGCCATACTGCCATCATACTATTAAAACTGTGATCAACTAGTCCGTTTGAAATAATGTGGGTGATTAGATGAGGCTTAGTCTTGCTCCCTCTTCCCCACCCTGGAGCTGATGTGCTCCTTAAAGTCGGAATGATCTGTCCTTGGGGAAAGGGGCTGAGAGGTCATCTGAAAGTGGTGGTAAGATTTCTGAGGTGAGTAGAGGTTGAGAAGTATATGCCCTCATCCTATTTATGAGGGAGTGTGATCCAGGCTTTTCCTCTTCCTTTGGCTGAAAGAGTAGCTGAAATTAATCTGGGAGGTTGAGTTTATAAGGGGAACAAAACAGGACAACAGAACACTCTCACTTCTTTGAATACTAAATCCATGGGTGCCTCGACTCCTGATGTGGAGCTACCAACTGGCTATGCATAACAAAGACAGAAGATGGCACTGCATCTTGTACATACTTTGAGAAATATATTTTTGTCTTTTATAAGAAAGTTCACTGATATTAAATGTTAGCATGTATTCCAGGCAAATAGTATTCTCAGATATCTACCTGAAAAGATCAAGTAAGCTAGCAAATGAGAATAAAAAGTTAAATGAAAATCACATAAGACCAGCAGTAGTTGATAAACTATGACAGTTTTTAAAAGATGCCATCAAGATTTTCTTGAAAATACCCCCAGAGATCAAGGATTTTGCTCATAGTTCTTAAGAACCACTGGGGTGATGAAATTATATTTTGGAGGTTGGCTTCAAGATAATCTGGTAGTATGTAGAATATAGATAAAACCAGGTTGGCTGGATGTAGCTAAGTATTGAAGCTGGGGGTTCACTGTACTGTTATTTCTACTCTTTTTGTTTGTTTGAAATTTTCAGTAACAAAAAACTGTAAAAATAAACGCTGACAGAATCACAGCACAGTGTGTGTGTGTGATGTATACACACACACACACATACACACACACACACACACGTAAGGCCCACCAGGTTTATCATTGATGGTAGAGATGGATCTATACTTCAAACGAAGCCGCTGAAAACGTGGGGCTTTTGTATAAAAAAAAAAAAAAAGCCGTGAATCCAAGTGAGAGATAAGGCTAGCCAAGTAAAAGAGTAAATAAGTTATTAACCTCAAAGCTTCAAACCTCCAGGTGCAGAAATGATGATATAGCTGTCACGTCCATCTGACTTACTATAATACTAAAAACGGGGGTTTTAAAATCATTTAATTTTTGGCATGTGTGAACAGTCCAAATTTCTTACAAGGAAACAAATAAAACTATCCAGTGCTTTAAAAATAGAGAAAATCAAATACCAGAGGTTGTTGGAACAAAGCACATTGTCTTGGAAACCAGGAAGTTAGCAACTGAACTAACACAAAGGAAGATTCTATTATTAGCAAATATATAGCTCCAAAAGGCAGGTGGGAGATTTTAATGTATGGTACCATGTCAGAAGTCGCTGTGAGGATAAAATGAGTTCACAGGAGTGCTTAGCACAGTTCCAGGCACATACTAAGTCCTATGTATGAGGCAGCTCTCATTATTATTATGCTGGTGCATGGCTAATTGTGTTTGTTTTCCTATGTTAAGTATCTGTGATTTCACTTGGCCAAATTCGACCAGAAAGCCATGGCCATGCATTCCTCAGAGCCACTCACAAACTTCCAGGGATTTGAGGGGGAGGACTACTTACAAGCAGTTTCCTGAGATATTTAGTTACCTTGGAAGGATTGATTTTATTCCCCAGTGGCCAACTGACTCTAAGAGAAGCAGAAAAACCTCTATTTCAAACATCTTCCTCTGTTAACAGAGTTTGTCCAATCAAAATAAGAGGTAAACCTGCAGGCCCTTATAAGCTGGTGATGCACAAGCCTAAAAATGAAAGAATAACTCATTCTCACCTGCTCACCTTGACAAGTTTCACTTATGGTTTCAAAGGACAAGGCTACAACCCCGAAGCTACTTCACCTTTCATTTCTACCCCCTCCCTTTTCTTGAAGTCCCATATAAAATTCTAACATTAGGGAGGAAATGAAAAGAAAACTTAACAGGTCTCACAGTTTTGGAGTCTGGTGTTACCCGAACCTGTGTGTTTGGTTTTTATGCTGCCAGGCATGGCTGAAAATGAAACAGTGCTTCTGTTGAATAGAAAGTAGGGGTTTCAGTAATATGGGGCGGAAAAAGAACTTCCCCAACATAAGCTGTGCCGAGCTGGTATCCAGACACACACTCCCCCATGTTTCCCATATACAGCATTTGATTCTTCGGCCATACGGGATGGTATAGGGCCATGGAGTGTAAGAGCTGGGGCAGTGAGACCGACCTTAAGCTTATTTATTTGCAAGCATACCTTAGGTCTTTTTGGTATAGCCACTCATAGTGTCAGTGACGAATTTTTAATTTTTTAATAAGGAAAGTAATAATATGCTAATCACAAGTCTGTGAATAGTCTGTGCGGTTTCCAATCCACGGTAGCCAAAGAAGAATAGAAATGTTTAAGTCACACCAAAATGGCTCTAAATTATATTATGAGATGCAGTTGTGATCCTGGCATTTCAGTTTATCCTGGAATGTAAGTGGCAAATGTTTCAGCTGTGCTCGCCGACTACGTAAAATTGAACAACATGTGTGGCAAAGCAAAACAAATAAAGGCAGATACTAACTATAAAATAAAGAATTACTAAATCACTGGGATGAAATTTCCATTTTCACTTTACAAATTAAGCAAAAAGCTTTAAAAATGAAGCCTTTTCCTCAAATTACACAAAGAAGGGCCCAAGAAGTTTATTTTCCAGCTGAGCCTGAAGAGGAGGTTTGGTCACCACACAGAGAATGGATACTTTTAAACCTGGGCTCACATCTGTTGTGAACACCTCACCCAGGGTAAAATAAAAGGCCAAATTCTATTATAATAAATTCCAAGGGTCATTCCAAATTCTTTCCCTGAACTAGAATTTTATTTGAAATAAGTAGGGCACCAGCCAATTTCTTCGACCTAGCTAAATGGGCAGTTTTGCTAGAATGTATTGATGGTAAAAGGACTGGCTTTGTGAATCTGAGGGCCCATGACTCCTGAACTGTTGACTTGAACATACAGATACGGTATCAAAGAGGACTAGGGTCCCTGCTTTTCAGCCTAAACACAGGGTTGGGTTCCAAACACGTGGGACAGAGTTTGGCCGCAGCACAGAGGGAGGGGGAAGGCCCTGGTTGTTATAAAGCCAGTCTCCTGTCTTCTGCCTAGATGACAGTGCAGCTGATAGTGATTCACAAATTTACTTGAGGCCCATACTGTCTCACAAGGCTAGGGGTTCAATGGTGTCAGCAAAGAACTTTTCTCTGACTGGGTAACTACATGACAATCAGGAAGTGCAGATAGTAACTTCATATTTTCCAGAGAGTAATTTAATCTCAATGTAAAAATAAAACATTCATAATATATTACCTTATATTTTCCTTTAATAATGCCTTCAAACAATCTTTCCTTGGTTCCATAAAAAGGCAAGCAACCACTTAGCAGGATAAAAAGGATCACGCCACAACCCCAGACATCTACAGGTTTTCCATAAGGCTCTCTTTTGACGACTTCTGGGGCCATAAAATGAGGTGTTCCAACACGTCCTACATTTAAAACAACAACATCAAGGAAAAATGTTTACATAAAATGGCCTTTTTTTTTCTCATTTGAAAACTGAAAATAGAACAATAACAGTCTGAAGGAAAAGTTTAACAATATAAAGATTCTCTTACTACCTCCTCCCTCCTCCATAAAATCAAAGGGGGAAAAAAAGCAGAAGGAAAAAATTATCTAATCACCTCTTCAAAATACTGAGCCCAGGATAGATACTTTGTCTTCTTCCTCTTTTTTTATTTAAAGATTTTATTTTTAAGTCATTTCTACACCCAACATGGGGCTTGAACTCACAACCCTGAGATTAAGAGTCACATGCTCCACCACTGAGCCAGCCAAGCACCACGGTACTTTGTCTTTCTAATACTGGTACTGCCTATTTCATTAAGCAGGGTGCATGGTACTTACCTATTTCTTGTTTAATGAAGTTGTTTAAATTTTCTAATTTTCACGTTTGAAAATCACTAAAAATATAGAGTAGGGGCAGGGGTGGGAGGGCAGGAGAAGACATCCATGGAGAAAAAGACTATTTTTGACTGCCAAATGGAAAATCTCAAAGTAAATCTAAAGTGGAGAACTTTTATTTGGATATGACTCAGAATCTGAAATCCTGTTCAACTGATTTTAGGAATTGACTGTAGCAATTAAGAATGCTTAGTAATATTCTCTTCTATAGGATTTTTAAGCTTTCTCTGAATGTTAACATTTGGCAGGAACGACAGCAGACACAGGACATAAACCAAAGCAAAGTCATGAAGCTCCTCTCATTCAATCCCCTTTGGCCTCCATCTTCTTTAAAGAGTTTTCTCCCACCCCCACCCAACAATGTTGGCTTTCAGGAAAGAGTTTGATAGCAGTTATTTGCACAATGGTAATCATCTTTACCTCGGTATCCCTAAGGGAGTCTTTTCTTCTACTGTAGAAGGAAAGGTTGTGCCCTGTAGGGAAATAACCATGGAAGGGGCACTGCCCACCAGACTCGGCAGCTCGTCTTGTGGGCAGGCCCCAGCCTTCTTCCTCCTTCCCCTACCCCTTCTTTCTCATCATACTGAGTCCAAGGTAATTGTTACTTTGAAGACTGCACAATACTTTACCTAGAGCTCAGAATTGTGGTTTAGAGTTAAAAAAAAAAAAAAAAAAAAAGACCTTACAGATCTTCTCATCCAGCTAGAGAAAATATACCATAAGGTCCAGTTAGTGACTGTCAAAACTCGGTTGGGATGGAAGGATAAAGCAGCTCTTAGCTTGTGTACTGGGGATATTCCTTTGCTTTGGATCATTATGGTTCCTCTCTTCCCACATAATAGAAGAGGTTAACTTTGGGGTTCAGAGAATGAAAATATTTTCATTTAAAATGTGCAGTAGAGCAGTGAAAACTGTACTGGTTAGAAGGGAAGATTTTTATTCCCCATTGCCCCATTTTGCTTCCTCTGGTAACACAAAGAAGCTCAAACGATGAGAGCTAAGCCTCGTACTTCATTTAACAGCCTTTGTCAGGGCGGGGCTGCTGGAGAATCCGCCTCGTGCTGACGGCAGGAGATCAAGGTACCGGTGAGCGTGCGGGTACCATGGCACCAGTCTGGTACCTTCTTATAGGTGGGATGATGTTTTGCAACTCAACTTGACTCCTATCACTTCCTACACAAGAGTGAGCTGAGCAAATCAAAAAGGAGCTTCTCTCCATTTATCTGTATCGAAGACTACTCCATTCTGGAGAATTAGTGTTAATCCTTAAGGAACATACATGTCTTATGGTTCAAAAATTTGCTCAGGGATGATGGAGGAAAGAATATATAGGAATGAGCTTTTTACAGTATTTTGTGCAGATCAGTCAAATGTAAAGGACTAGAGTTAACCTTTAATGTATACCAACCTTCCTGGACTCCTTGTTTGTGATAGCTTGACTTTTTCTTCTTGGTGGTCACTTGATTTTTATGACTTTGACTTCCTGTTCTTAGAATATTGTGGTCAATTACCAAACCATATTAAATGTCACTGTGTATGACATACTTCAGATATACACTTAAATATTTAAATGTTAGACTTTGGGATAATATAGTAAGACCTCTCTACCTAGGTCTTACCTGAGGTTAGAACCTCAGGTAAGGAGCGGCTTTGAATAGCTAGGACTTGAATCTTTACACACCCAAAGCTTTTTAAATAATTTTGGATGGTTATCTTTCTACAATTTTCTGACTTCTTTTACCTAAGATGCTGCACATAATGCAACCTTTTCTTGATGACTCAAGATGACTGTCTTGTGGCTATCAATGAAAGAACTATGCTACAGAACAGAAAATGCCCTCAGGAACTTCAGAGGTAAGCAAGGGTTGAGTTCTTCAGTATTAAAAGGGGGCTGTGCTTTCTACATTTTGGTATCTGCTCAACATACTTTTCCTGTCAGGCTTTTGTGTCTTTTCTCTCACTGTGCTTCCTCTAGCCTGTCTTCTCCTAATTTGTTGCATAAAATCTGCTATTAACCAGAAACTGATTAGCAAGCAGGTTCTTTCATTTAGAAACAATTTCCCAAGTGCCTGCTTGGGTCCTAGACACAGTGGGAGGTGCTGTGGACATACAGAAGGATAAGCTGTGATGCCTCTTGTCCTCATAAAGCTCAGTCTTTGATACGACTACAAATCCCTGCATCAAATACTACATGGAGGTATGTAGCCCAGATAGTTACGGTAATATGGAAGAGAAGGAAAGGGTTACCTAACTTGGGATGGTGAAGATCAGCTTGCTTTTAAGAGGGGAGGTTTGTCAACTCAGTCTCTCAACCTTCAGGAGCAGTAAGAGTTACATAGATACTGAAAATGACAAAAGGTATTCCAACCAGAGGGAGTAGCAGGTGCCAGGTATGAAGGCACATGAAACCATAAAACTATGGAAAATGGCAGCATGCCAGCTTCAAAGAGTATGCTCTTAGGATGCCCATTTGAGAGGCCCATGAATGGGTGTTAAGGTCAAGAAATGTCTGGCTGCAAAAATAATTTTTTTTTGTAGGATCCTAGTTATCTTCTGCATAGACGAGTTTTCCAAATAGTGGAATTTCAGGTAGGTTAAGTGCAAATACATGTAAGTGGTTTCTACAATATGGAACATATAAAGGAGAGAATTCTTTTCTATTTCTATTCTACTGAGTAATCAAAGATTCCAACTGACAGGAAAATAGCTTTCTGTTAATAAGCATTAGCAAATGAGCTAATATTAGTGTAATTTCACAAGTACCTTAAACAATAAGAAAGCTTTCTCTAAGAGAAATCATTTATCCCTTGTCTACACATGTTGTATTTTTAAAGACACTATAATGCTTCAAGTAGTTATTTCAAGACTGGAAGGAAAGATACGTGAAGAAACGACACTCTGACCATCAGAAAGTATTTCAATTCTAGAAGCACTGAGAAAAATAAATTTTGTACAACTGACACACTCTAGGTTCAAAATCAGCTTTAAAAACATACAATTTAGGAGAAAAGCTCAAGGACTTTAGGAAAGTAGATTAACATGGAGAAGATGTCTAGGTAAATCCAACGAATCCGTTTTTCCCCTTCAATCAAGATGCATGGTAAAATATAAGCTGATACCACTCTGAATACTAACAGGATATGGATCCAGACAAAGAGAAACAAAGCCATTATATGTGGCCAGTATAGAACATATAAAAGGACTTTGTGTCATTTCATTTCATCCCATCAGTCTTGGGGATGTAATCATCAGAAGTTACTTGTTATAACTGTGTAGTCTTTTTTAGAAAAGATTATTTATTGTCATTTGAGAGAGAGAGAGAGAGAAGCAGAAAATCCCAAGCAGACTCCCTGGTGAGTGTGGAGCCTGATGTGGGGCTCGATCCCACGACCCCGAGATCACGACCTGAGCCAAAACCAAGTAAGTGTCAGATGCTTAACCAACTGAGCCACCCAGGCACCCCTATAATTGTGTAGTCTTTACAGAGGGGTGATATGTAAAAATATCAGATTTAAGAGAGTTAGTTTAATAGCAACAATTGTTTAAACACAACTTGGGAGTTGTAGTTAATTGCAAGATCAGTATGAGCCAGTGGTATTATGTGGCTGTCCAAGAAGCTAATGCAATCTGGGGAAGCTGACAGAAATATAAGGCTCACAGCAAAAGAAGCAACAGTCCCAGGCTCCTGTGTGCCGGACTGTACCTACAGTTGTGCTCAGTTTTGGCTCCATCCTTTGCACACGTGAGAGTGAGAGTCTGCACCAGTTTATGTGAGGAATGGCTAAATTAACTTAGGCAAGTTAATTTGGATAAGACTTAGGGGTACACGATATTGTCTTTAAACATCTGAATGGTTATCATGTGGCAGAATTAAAATTGTTCAGTGTGGCTCCAAAAGTCACAATTAGCACCACTGGGTGGAAGTGATAAGAAGACAGATTTCTGTTCAAGGTAAAGATGAATGTTTCAGAACTCAAGGAGCTTTCTAAAAATGGAAATACAGTCCTGAAACACAGTGAATTCTTCGCTATGTGAGGAATTAAACTAGAGCTCAACCTTTCGCTGGGAATTTTATGAAGGAATGCGATCATTGGTTATAAGACTGGAGATGTTAAGGCCCCCTTGGAATCCTGAGATTCAATGAGTCTATGATTAAATGATGTGCTACTACCTGATCCTATGATTAGTCCTTCCAATCACAGATGGAAGTTTTGAATTAGGAAAAAAACATCAGTTTTTAAAACTATACTCAACTTGCAATTTTTCATATTATTGGAAATGATTAGCTTGAAGAGAATGCAAAATTAGAAGAAAATCTAGACATAATTTAATTTTAGAGGGCAATGTGATGAACTAACAATTTAAAGAATACAACTATGACTCCTGGCTCTTTTTTCAGAACATGGTCTATGTTAACGCTGCTTTGGTGTTTAGTAATATGTCTATTAAATTAAATGAAATATCCTGTGTAATGGATTATTGTTTTGATATTTATCATTTGTCAGGTATCTGAACTTAATGTAAGTATTCATGGAAGATGACAGGTTCAAAAAAGTTCTGCTGGTATTTTTCATATTTTTCCTCTTTGTGTTTCCATCTGGAGATGGAAAATCGAAGGCACTGACTAGAAGACTGATAAACTATAGAGTGAAGAACTAAGTCATTTGCAAAGCTAAGGAAGAGAACTAAAAACAGGGTAGCATTCTGAGCTGGAGTCTATTGAAGGGAATACATAAAAACCCAAATTCCTGGATCTAGAATTAGTATCCACCTCAGCATGCTACTGGAGAAAATTTCTATTTTTAAATTTCTTACTTTTTTTTTTCTGGCATGGGAATTTTCTAATTATGTTTTGCTTTGGCTAATAATAAAAATCAGTCTGCATTTACATCTGCTTGCTCTTCCCAAATACACAGATTGATGGCTTGAGCAGGACTCTTTCACAAATAAGAAGAGGAAAACAATATGAAATTAAACATTAGCCACTAATGTAAACCTGAAAGTGGTTAATCTACATGCTTTAGAATGGACTTCGTTTGGCCAGTTCAACTTTATTTATTTTTAAGTAAGCTCTATGCCCAATGTGGGGCTTGAACTCACAACCCCAAGATCAAGAGTTGTGTACTTCACTGACTGAGCCAGCCAGGAGTCCCTGGCCAGTTCAACTTTAGAAGTCACCTTTCCCCAGATAACACCTTCTTCCAACACTGTTTTAATCTCTGTACGCAGGGTCACTTCTCTGCCAAGTGGTGGGAATACAAAGAGTAAAAGCACAGGGTCTATTCTTAAGGTACTAAAATTCTAGTTATAACTACAGTTATTAAATTCAAAACTATGATAGACTTTCTTGGGGGTGGGGTGGGGGGTGGAATGGGTATGAAACACTGAGGATGAGCTAATATTTAGTTTGAAAGTGTCTTGAAGGAAATTTTTAAGAAAGTGTTCTTACCTCCAGCTACAAGTCCAGACTCCCCTAATTGAATAGCTACCCCAAAGCCCCCAAGTTTAACAGGTGCCGAGTTTTCCTTTGAGGCGAGGAGAACACAGTGGGGCTGGAAAGAAAAACAGACAAACAACAAACCAAAGGATTAATTGGAGATGAGCAATTCAATTTACACAAAACTGAGTAACATGACTGTATAGTAATACATTAAAAACTCCTGGAATTATTTTGGATGTTCGAATTATTTGTCCTATTCTCACTTCTGGTTGATTTCTCCAAAGACTTACCTGTGTTATCAAATGTTTTTCAGGGATTATTTGCTTCTAAGATTAGGGTAGGTGCTAAGAATTACTCAGGAAGCAAGCGTGTTCAAGTATGGCGGATGTATTTTCTGCCCTTTCATGCAATATTCTTTTTTTTCTGATAGCCTACATTTAAGGAAAAATATTTTTTACACCTCTTGCCAAAATGTTTCTTGAAACCCCTGACTTTACCTACAGAGCCACTGTATCGTAGTCCTTAGGGGATGCTAATGGCTCTTTCTTTGTCCACCCTCCTACCATCCTCTTGCTTTACTTTATTCATTCCATCCCCAAGTAAGAAGAGCCAGATTTAATGACTTTAATTGAACCCGGCTCCCAGGGAATTCAATGTTCTCCCTGGGCATGTCTTTTCTCTGGACCTGCCCTTCCTCTTTGTGGGAATGGGAAGGGAGAGAGAAGACGACTTGGCTGGCCTCTGGTCCAGGGCAAAGACATCCTTCCCAAGGAGTAGCTGTGTGACCAGGGCTCCCTAAGAATCATATGCTTCGTGGTCACGATGAAAGTTTCTCTGTAGGTCCTGGTCTCAGGAAAGCATTTAACTGTGTGGACCTTTGGTCTCTGCTCAAATACTATGCTCCCCAATATGACTGATGTCACATATGACCTGCTTTCAAAATATGGGTTATGAAAAAAAGCAAGCTTCTTCAGGCATGGAAGAGAAAAGTATTTTTGTTCTTTCCCATACTTGCTCATTTATAACATGACACAGTTTTAGCTCAGTTTAGCCTATATGATAGTGGTCCCCCAAAATCCTGTGCAATAAAACTCTGAACTGGTATACCCAGAGAGATGTTTGACAATGATACAGAAAAGTGGGAGGGCTCCTTACTCTGCTCAATGAAAGCATCAGGGTTCTACTTTGGAAGTTACTTTTTTTTGTCCAAAGACATTTAAAGACCTTATAACAGAGGCTCTAACACAAAGAAAGATGAGCCCTTAAATATAAATGTGTGTATGAGAGAGAGAGAGAGAGAGAGGGAAGGCAAGTGTACATGAATGGTGAGTGTGCTGCAGCAAGACACAAAGTAGCCAGGAGGGTTTATGGGAGAGCAAGCAAAGCTCTGCAGAAACCAACCAATAAAGACTGCTCTTCATAAGAACTTTCGGTTGGTTTAAATAGAGACAGATGACAACAGACCAGAAGAAGTGATAGCCCTAGCATGAGTCTAGTGTGGGGTGCAATAAATGAACAAACCTAGAAAACGAGGGGCATGATGCAGAAGAAGAAACTATAAACTAAACCTAGACAGGGTCTCCTGGCCAGTTCTATCACCTTATTAAGGAGAAGTAGAAGCTTAAAACAGAATTCCAAAGTATACCCTTTATAATTTGTTGACTATATTTATTCTTAAGTTAATGTTACACTAAGATTTATGTAATTCTCATCAGAGTGTGGATTCTGTCATTCTCAATAAATCCTCAAGTCATAAAATTGGAGGACAGAAACAAAGGAAACCAATACATATAAATGAATATAAGAGACTGGGTAGTGTTAAGTGCATTAGGTAAAAGCTGGTGGAGGTCAATGTTATAGGTTTGGAGACTAGGGAGCTGCTATTTAGTAAGGGGGTTGGGTCAGAGAAGGCTTCTCTAATAGGGTAATATCTGAGCCCAGACCAGAATGAAGGGGCAGAATGGGTCATGTGGAAGCAGGTTCCAGGAGGGTGGAATAGGATAGTAAGTACAAAGACCTAGAAGCACGAGGAGGGCTGGTATGTTTGGAGAAGAGTAAGGAAGCCAGTGTGTTGGGGGAAAAAATGAGCAAGGGGAAGAGTGGTAGGAAATGTGATCCAAATGGTCAAAGGCTATATGGTCTGGGGCTTGGAGCCATGGCCAGAACCCTGGGTTTTATGCTGAGTGAGATGGGAAACCATTAGAAAGTTGTGAGCAGGGGAGCATTATGAGCAATTTCAGGTTTTGAAAGAATCACTTGGGCTGTTGTGTGGAGAAGAGATTGCAAGGGCATGAGAGTGGAAGAAAAGATACCAGGTAGGAGGCTTCTGTGGTTCTCCAGGCAAGAGAAGATGGGGATTTGAATTATAGAGTGACAGAAGCAGTAGTGGCAAGAAGTGGTCAAATTCAGGATATGTTCTAAAGGTTAGGCTGACAGGCACTGCTGCTGGATATGGGATGTGAGAGAAAGAGGTAAGTATGACAACTTAAGTTTCTGTTCTGAGCAACTAAATGAAAATGAAGATGCCGTTTACTAAAACTGGGAACACAGAAGGAAGAGTTTATAAGAGGGATCAAGAATTTGGTTTTGTACAAATTGAGTGTGAGATCTTAAAAGATGGGAGAGGGAAGGCCGGAATTAGAGATATAAATTTGGGATCAAAAGCACACAGTGGTTTTTTTTTAAAATTTTTTTAAATATTTATTTATTTGACACAGAGAGACACACCAAGAGAGGGCACACAAGCAGGGGGAGTGGGAGAGGGAGAAGCAGGCTCCGCATGGAGCAGGGAGCCCGATGTGGGCCTCGATCCCAGGACCCTGGGATCATGACCTGAGCCAAAGGCAGATGCTTAATGACTGAGCCACCCAGGCACTCCGCACACAGTGTTTATAGCCCTCGGACTGCCAGTAGGAAAGAGAAGGGGGTGGGGCGCCTGGGTGGCTCAGATGGTTAAGCATCTGCCTTTGGCTCAGGTCATGATCTGTAGGTTCTGGGATTGAGCCCCAGGTCATGCTCCTGGCTCAGTGGGGAGTCTACTTCTGCTTCTCCCTCTCCCTCTGCCTCTCTCCCCTGCTCATTCTTTCTCTCTCTCTCTGTCTCAAATGAATACATTTTAAAAATCTTAAAAAAAAGAGAGAAGAGAAAAGGTCGGAGGAATGAGATTTGGTGCACAGCAATGTTTGAGGTCTGGAAGATGACAACAATCTAGCAAAGGAAAGAGAATGCCTAGACAGCGAAGCAGGCAGGAAATCAGAGCAGTATGGTGTCCTGAAATGCTAGTGAGAGGCCATTTAAGATGAGAGCTGAGAACAGACCATTAGATCTGGCAACCTGAAAGTCCTTGGTGACCTGGATAAGAGGGGTTTTGGTGGGATGATATAGACAAAAATCTCCATTGGATTAGGTTCAAGAAAAATGGGAAGAGATGATGTGGAGATAGTAAATTCAGGTATCTTTCAAAACCTTACCGTACTAGGAACAGAGAGATGGGAATAGAATGTAGCTAAAAGAGAATGAGAAGCCAAGGAAGTTTCTTTTTAAAAACTTTTTAGTATTTGCCATTAGAGAAAGCAGACTATTAAACCTCCATGTACCTTTTTAAAAAGATTTTATTTATTTATTTGAGAGAGAGTGAGAGAGTGAGAGAGTGTGTGTGCTCAGGCAGGGGAAGCAGCAGCAGAGGGAGAGGGAGAAGCAGGCTTCCCGCTGAGCAGAGAGCCCAACACGGGGCTCGATCTCAGAACCCTGGGATCATGACCTGAGCCAAAGGCAGCTGCTTAACCAACTGGGCCACCCAGGTGCCCCCTCTTCCATCTCCCAGCTTTAACAGTTATTGACATTCTGCTATTCTTGCTTCGCCTATCCCCATTGTTTTTGTTGAAGTTTTTCTTTTTTTCAAAAAAGATTTTATTTATTTGAGAGAGAGAATGAGAGAGAGAGCATGAGAGGGGGGAGGGTCAGAGGGAGAAGCAGACTCCCCGCTGAGCAGGGAGCCCAATGCGGGACTCAATCCCGGGACTCCAGGATCATGACCTGAGCCGAAGGCAGTCGCCCAACCAACTGAGCCACCCAGGCGCCCCTTTGTTGAAGTCTTTTAAAACAAATATCATTTCACCTATTATTAGTTCAGTATTTCTAACAGACGACTTAAGAAAATAACCATATTACCACATCCAATACAATTAACAATTCTTAAATATCATCTAATACCAATCCACATTCAATTTTCTTTGACTATCTCAAAGATTTTTTTCTTTCTTTTTTTTTTTTTTTTTACAGTTGGTTAGTTCAAAATGGTATTTAAGGTCCATACATTGCATCTGATGGTTATAGGTCTTATATCTCTCTGACTCTATACCATATCCTCCTCTTACCTTTTAAAAAAACGTTCATGCCACTGATTAAGATAGGAGGTAATTTCCCCTTCCCCTGTGGAAATCACCTACAATCTGGACTTGGCTAATAGCACCTACATGGTGTCATTGTAACATGTTCCTGTGTTTTCTGTAAATTGGTAGTTAGATCTAGAAGCTTGATTAGATTCACGTTCAATTTTAGTTTTTTTTACACTAATACTTCAGTTTTTTGTAACACATCAGGAAGAACATAATGTCTGGTTGTCCTACTTTTAGCAACAGGATTGGTCAGTGGGTTCAGGTATTGTCTGTCTTGATCCATTTTTACAAAGTTCACCATTGACATTTCTTTCATGATTCTGGCAGCCAGTGATGCCCAGCTCCATAATTAGGGGTTCCAAAATGGAGGTTTTCCCCAGTATTTTGTTATGAAGACTATCAAAAACAGAGAAAACTGAAAGAACTGTAAATAGCCACATACTCACCACACAGATTCTACAATGAACATTTTGCTACATTTGCTTTATCAAATATCTATTCATCCCACTATCCAATCATCACTCCATCTTTTCACTATAATTCAGTACATGTCATTAGAGTTTAATATTTTTTTTTGAGAGAGCGAGCGAGCAAGCGTGCGTGTGTGCAGGGTGGGGACAGAGGGGCAGAGAGAGAATCTTAAGCAGACTCCACAAAGTGTGGAGCCTGATGTGGGACCCAATCTCACAACCCTGAAATCACGACCTGAGCCAAA